TAGCAGCATAACTAAGATGGTTCAGGACTCACCTGATCCAGAACTAACTATAGGCTTTATCCAAAAGGAACGTTTTAAGTTTAACTTTAAATGCAGAGATGGTGTCTACCTCCTGAACCCAGAGTGGGAGCTGGTTCCACAGGAGAGGAGCCTGGTAGCTGAATGCTCTACCTCCTGTTCTACTCTTACAGACTCTTGGAACCACAAGAGAGCCTGTGTTTTGAAAGCAGTTAATATATGGTTATCATGCTTCATATTAACCATGTGTTTGTGTTCTTGTGTCTCTAGGAGGCATCAACCCTCTGCTGTTGAACAGTCTGTTTGGAGGGATGGACCTGTCTTCTCTCCAGAGCCTCCAGTCTCTCCAGTTGGCTGCTGGTCTGATGGCCTTTCCTCCCCCCACTGACCCCAAGCAGGCCGCTGCCAGCGCTGCTGCCGCCTCCATGCTGCCCCTCATGCTGCCTGGCATGGGAGGCCTGCCCAACATGTTCAGCTTAGGCAGTCTGTTTGGGGGTAACCTGGCAACAGCCACAGCTGCTGCATCCAACGCCGCCATCTCTGCCGCTGCGTCAGGGAACACAAACGGAACAATGGAGGGAGAGAGTGGTGAAACAGTAACAACAAAGAGGAAGAGAGAGGCAGAGGAGAAAGAGGGAGAATGTGGTGAGGTGGAAGAGGAGGACGAAGATGAGGAGGAGTCTGATGGAAATACAGTAAAGAAGGCGCAGAAGAAGAATGCGAAGGAGAGTGATGAGAAACTTAATAATGTCACTGCGGGTCCCGGGATCCCATCTGTTGATTCTTCAGCTGAGGCGTCCATCAACGGTGATGCTGCCGCCCTGCTGGCAGCAGCTGGCATGTCCGCCAACTCTCTGGCATTCAACCCCTTCCTCCTCTCCACCATGGCCCCTGGCCTCCTCTACCCCTCCATGTTCCTACCTCCAGGCCTCGGGGGGCTCACCCTGCCTGGCTTCCCCACCGCCTCCACGCTGGCAGAGCTGCAGAGTGCCATGGCCGGAGTGCTGGGGGGCAACAACATTTCCACAAACCCCCCTAGAGTTGAGGTGGAGAAACAGGTGCTGAAAGCTTCAGGAGAGGAGGACGACGACGACGACGATGAGGATGATGAGGACGATGAGGAAGGTGGAGGAGAGAGTGACTTGGCTGAGGAAAAGGACGAGGAGACGAGAGGCGAGGCCGACGATTCAGTTCTGGAGGATGGTGGGATGGGAGGAGAGGAAGAGGAGGCAGCGGCGTCTCCACAGAAGGACACGAGTGACTGAAATAAAATACAAAGCTGACTGCCAGGAACATTTCCTCACCTCTGACCTCCCCCTCCCCTCGCCACGTTTACACGCCTCCACCAGAAATATCCAAACTATTATAAATCCTGATTTCTTTTTTTTTTTTCTTACGTTGTGGTTGATTTCTCTCTCTACATTTGTTTATTTTTTGGCCAGGTATATTTACTATGCGTCAGAGAGGATGAGATGTGTGTGTTCAGTTCAGTCTCTCTGATCGATAGTGTAGTCAGGGAAAGTCAGCACACTCTTTAAAGACTCGTTTTCTCTACTGGTTCCTGTCTACTTTTCTCTTCCACAATCCCTCAAACAGGACTTCACGAGGTTCCAATAGTGCTATTATTATTATTATTATTGTTATAATTGTTATTATTATTATTGCTGCTTTCAGCTCTCAGATCTGTCATTTTTTTATTTTTGCTTCGCCTGGACTGTTCTGTTGCTGTTGGCAGCATCTCATCACAAAGAGAAGAAACATCCGCTGCTGCCACGTTATCTAACATCAGTTCTCAAAAAACAAACAGCATCACAGCTAACCCGGCTGTCTGTCTGACAAAGCTGCTGCAAAAGGAATTGTGGGTAATGGAGTTGAGCTGCTCGGTTTCAGAGCAGATTCGTAGTTCTCACATATCAGACCAGGTAGACACTGAGGAGGAAAAGAAAACTAGGCTGGCCTAAAACTCAGTCTCACACACTGATGACCACAACACACACACATCCCAACACACGCTTTGCATACTTGATCACAAGTTGCACATGCAAACACACACACGTATTCCACCACTACACACACACACATACTAACCCCCTAAACCCTCTCTGTCATGTGACTGTTTCTGGGAGGACTTCCCTACCAGCTGTGTTCCTTTGAGTGTATGAGTGCGTGTGTGCCTGTGCGTGTTTATGGGTAAGTGCGTGCATGCATGAACCAATACTGTTAAACCCAGTCCCACACTGTTTGAGAACCAATCTTGAGTCTTTCCACTGCCACATCTGAATCCTCCCTCTCTTGCGAGGTGGCTGGTTTTTGGCTCAGGAGTGGCAGGCGGGCTGGGTCTGCCGCCAGTCAGGCCTCCTGATTGGTCCGTTTCAGCCACAGAAAGAACCAGCTGTCCTTGTTCGGAGGTTTCTGTGAATGGATTTGGAGTGGTGGTCCATACAGGGATGTGAGGTTTCAGGTTTCATTTTTTTAAAAGGGGCACATGACATAGTTGAATTTCCTGGTCGCTGTCACATTAAAATCCCTTATTAATTTTTTTTTTTTTTTTTTTTTTTTCCTTCACATCCCAGTAGTTCCAGACCAAGTGCTGCTCCCTAGTGACCTTCTCTTTAAAGACTGTTGCTCTAGTCACACACACTGACACCAGGCCTGGCCGAGACAGGACTGAGACACATTTTCAACAGAGTGTGAAATTCACAGGTTTCCTCATGAAGTTCAGCTCTGCTTGTGGAAGTTTTAAATACTTGAAAAGTGCGAGAGGTGTTTGATTTGTTTCCATTCCTGAGGCCAGTTTCAAGATAAATCAAGCGCTGCAAGTGGTTCAAATATTTGAAAGTACATTCAAACACACACATACACTGTGGCCAGGTCTTATTAACATTTGCTAATACAGCCAGCCCAGCAGATGAAGAGAGAGCTGGGACTCCTTCCCTGTCAGAGAACCCTGTTCTCCTCTCTAATGCTGAGACAGCAATAACCAAGGCAGCTTTTGAATGTTCCAACATTACTCTCCCAACACACACATACTCACAAACACACACACACTCTATGAATAACCACAAGTGTCATATGAATAGAAAAACAAAACTAAAACTGTAAATGATGACAAATACGTACTGCAATCAATTTTGTCTCACTCTGTTCCTGTTGATGCACTGGTGTTAAAGAGTTAAAATGATCAGGTACCTTTATTACTTAGCTACTTTTCTTGAAAAAATGGACTTTTTGTTACTTTTAGCCAGCAAGCTGAAGAGCATTACCTCAAAATTCTTATCTAGCCTTGAAGTTTACAGACATACCATGTAAATGTTTTTTTTTCCTCTTTTTTTTTGGTGTGTGTCTTTTTGTTGTTTTTTTTTGGAGACATCATGTATGATGAAGTGTAGCTATGATGCTTTTAATAAAAGTGAATCATGATATTCGCCTAGGAAACCAAACCTCAGCCTGCATCTCATTTTTCTAGCTGTGTACTTCTGCTTTGAGGATGTTTTCTGGCAGCTCTCTAACAGTCTGGTCAATGCAGGAATGTTGTGCATTGTTTCCACCTCGCTGCTCTGTATTTAAGGTTACAACACAGAAAAGGGGGCATTGTTTTTCCACTTGTAAACTGGCAGTGGAGGTAAACACAGCAGGATGGGTTTCTGAGAGTCTGCATTTGTGTTGTTAATATCATGCCTCTGCTACTTCAAATCACTGAGGCAGCACTTTGCAGACATTTTTGGTTTAGTGTTGACGGGCAAAGGCAGCAAAACATGGGATCGGTGTATTAGAGCAGTGGCTCTCAAGTGGGGGTCAGAGAGCCCCCAAAGTCCACACTGCCAGAAGGTCTGTGAAAATATTCCAGATACATTTTAATGATAAATTATTTTTGTGTGTTGACCTGGTGAAAATGTTTTAATACATGTCTAATATAATTTATCTTGTTCTTTCACATGAGGTTTAAAAAAATAGTCAATGTGAAATTAATCCAAGGGTCATATCCCTGGAATATTTTCTAGTTGGTTGAGGGAAAAAGAATTGTCCCCCTGTATTCAAGGGGCTTCTGATGGCCCTCAACTTAAAACAACTCACTCACTGATACACAACAAACCCATGGGTGATTGTACTGCTCTGTACTGTGTTGTACTTCTGTGTGTGTGTGTATGTCACACTGATTATGTAAGTTTGTGACTTTAAGGTAGTTAGATCTGTTCGTGAATATCGGGCCATTCTAGGACTCAGTCACCCTTGGTGTGTCTTTTAGTTCACTCAAGTGAAAACCAAAGTAATTAAATACATTTTTAAAAACAAACTTAAATCCTCTGTACACTGAGGCCTGCACTGTGAAGCAGGATTTGTGGTCCGTAAAGGAACTTAAAGGCATAGTTCACTGTAAAATGAAAATTCTCACTTATCTACTCACCAATATGCCGATGGAGGGGTGGGTGAAGTGTTGGGTCCACAAAACACTTCTGGAGTTTCAGGGGTGAACTTACACCATTTACACCATGTTTTAAGCCTAAAAGCATGTTAGCAATGTCTAATGAACTATCCCTTGAAAGCATAACCCTGGGAATCCAGGGTTGAGATAGTGGTTACATCTTATGGGTAGCGCCATGGTAACTTTAGCTGCTCTGAAACCGCTGATGTCCTCGTGGAGAATGGCATCGCCATTGGCGTATGCGGAATATGACAGAACTGCTGATGACTAATTCAGCACAATGTTCATGGGTTAGTTTGTTAAAATATGCATGAAAAAGAAAAGGCTAAAGTTGTAGCCCAGAGGTTCAGTCAGTTCTGACTCAGTAAGAACCTGTAGCTTCAATCAGCTGCTCCAAATCACTCCAACATACCTGTTGGTTCTTAGTGGAAACCTGTTTAACCTGATCATGTGTCCAAAAGTCAAATCTATACATTTAACTATTTTTTATGACAAAGAGAGGAAACAAATAAGAACCTGAGATGAAACATTTTTAAGAATGGTTTAAAAAGCAATTATGAATGATAAAACATATGGTTGATTCATTAACATGGTTAATTCATTAACCAATAATTTAATAAGAGTTAAAAAAAAACATGTATAAAGTTTGTTCAGTCCATCTGAAACAAAAACAGCCCTGGAGGTGAAGGCCACGCAGGATGTTCTGGTGGCTGATGATAAATGGTTCAGCATGATTGACACAAAGCTGTGAAACTAGAAATCAGAAGTTCATTTGACATGTTAGGAGGTAAACAGAAAAAAGAGTGCATTTGAAATCATCCATGTTAAAGACACAGCATCTCAGGGGATAAAACATGTCAAATTGTTGCACTGATTGAAAGAAAGATCTGCTTCTTTGAAAAGAGCTTAAGCTCGACAACAGGAAATTTAAGCACAAGCAATGTGTATTTTAGTTTATTACAAAATGTGAATGTAAAATTAATAAATCCTGCTCCCTAACAGAAAACCATATAATTACATCTTGTACTGAGCACTTTATTAGGAACACCTGTACACCTGCATATTCATGTATTTATCTGACCTCTCTCATCAACAAGGTGTCTCTGCCCACAGAGCTGCTGCTCACTGGATGTCTTTTGGGTTTAAGCTCCACTCTGACAAGAACTCCAGAGACCGTTGTGTGCGACACTCCCCGCAGACTAGAAACACACAAAACTAGCCACGGTCGTTTTGAAGCCTGCAGTTGTATCAAACTGTCGTCAGCACAAGACTGAGGAAATGAAGCTGCAAATATCAGTGAACTTGCTGGTGTGTGGGGGGGCGGTGAGGGGTATGAGCCGCTCAGCATTTGGTGCTATCCCCAAAACCCCACAGGATAACGGGGACATGGAGGAGGCAGCAGTTGTGTGTTTGACACCGTAGACACAGTCAGAGAGAGCAGGCAGGTATGAATAAACCAAAGTGTTTGGTTAAATATGGATGTTGTGGTCATATAACAGTATGAGAGGTCACATGGAGGTGAAATAAGAAAACAGGAAATTGCCTCTCTCTCGCTCACTCACTCTCTCTCTCTCTCGCTCTGTGTGTGTATGCGCCACTCCAGCCAACTGTCAAAAATGGCCTCTCCCACTGGAGCTGCTGACAAAACACAAACTGACAGCCAGACCCCACTGAGTGTGTGTGTGTGTGTGTGCGAGTGTGTGCATGTGTGTGTGAGTGTGTGAGTGGGGGTGAACAGAGTAGACAATATGTGTGAGATTTTGGCTGTTCTTTTCTTTTTCCCCTCCGAAACTACTTATTATCCAGTGTGTTGCAATCAAATACATAGTGGGAAATCTGCGTATATGCTTATGCTGTGTCTAACGTTTGGAGACGTCACTGTCAGACACTGTGTAGGCGCTGTTGGTTTTCAGAAAGCTTCATATTTACAGTCACCTTGTGTTGAACTGTGTAGAATGAACAAGTCTGTCCAGAGTATGGGACAACAGCAGTAACACACACACTGCTCTTACTCTACTCACATCAATCTCACAGCAACAGTCCACAGATACCTGAAACACAGAGTCAACACAAACTCACACCATCCATCTTGGTGCCTGACAAGTGAAACACTGCATGCTTTGTTGCTGGAGGCAGGGGAGCCAATCAGATGCTCGCCTCCGTCTGTCATGTTATTGGTTGGTTCAGGTCACATGGACGCCGGTGACGTTATTCACACCTGCTGAACACATGAGCTGTGTCCGAGATCCATCAGCCACTCACTCATTCACTGCTCCCTATACAACGCGCACTCACTCCTCTTCGTCATGATGAAGAATGTGGAGTGTCAATGTAGCCTTCATGACATGAGTACTACATCTTTGTGACATTGTTGGATTTGAGATTTGAGGGAACTACTGTGTACAGTGAATATATTTACACACTTGGACAATCGTTTACAATGGACGAGTCCGTTTTGGTCTGTGAGGACAGAGAAGCTGCGTCTCAAATCAGGGGCTGCATTTGAAGACAGGCTCCTTCAAATGTGGTCGACAAACGCATCAAGGCTCCGATGGGTGGATCCTTCCTGGTCGAACCTGTCCCATGATTCCTTGTGCTTCAGTGACAAACTGTTACTCAAAGAGGTTATGGCTGCAGCGAGCGAGGTGGAAAAAGTGGTTGCTCTGTTGCAGAAAATACTGCCAGCTTCAGGTGAGGGTCAGTGGAGAGCAAATCATGACTCGAACCTGGGTGTTTAACCTTTTCAAATGTCCCCCCCCCCCCGTCCAGACCTGGAGTCTCCGAACTTAAATTAAAAGTTAAGCTGACTAATGTGGACGAGGCCTCACTTGAAGGCACCATGACAGCAACATGAGATCTGATGTGAAGCCATGTGAAGTGCAGCGTCAGGTTGAACAGTCTGTTATGGTCAGTTTAGTTAGGGTATAGTTTGTCATCACACTAATGTCTCTGTGTTAATATTGTAAAGAGGTGACCACACTCACTGTGTACTGTATGCTGCACCTTTAAGAGCCACAGGCAGCCTGGAAATCAATAGAATGTCCCCACATACGAAGTAATACAAACCTGTGTGTGTGTGTGTGTTTACTATAGCAGACAGTAGAGAGAGGTGGAGTGTGTGTGTGTGTGTGTGTGTGTGTGTGACAGACGTCTGGCCTAATCGCTTTGCTGGAGGAAGTGGGACGTGAAATCTACCAGCCGCACCACACTACATGCACACACGCACACACACACACACACACACACACACACACACACACTGAACCACAAACCCAGCATGCCGTCCTGTCTTCTACCCTCATTTCTCCTTCCAGGAATTTTTGAAAAAAACGGTCTTATTTTCCAGATTTCGACTTGTTTATTCAAGGTCATTGCAAAAATGGAGAGATACACAAGATTACAAACGTCAGTCCATTAATACAAATAATATATACATTCATTTAAAATGTCATTTTGTATTGGATATCTGACGCTGTAATAAAATAACTGGGCTGATTCAACATATTCAGGGCTAATTTCTACAAAGAAACATACAAACACGTTTCCAAGCAGGAATTCAGAGAGTTTCATTTAAATCAGTGTTCACTCCTGTGATCTAATAGTGTGGATTCTATATGCTGATCCACGTCACACTGTGATATGTTGGGACAAAGCCTGGCTTTGTTTCTGAAGGATCTCTGTGGGCATCACAGCTCTGTCTGTATCCACATCACTGTTCACTGTGTTGCCAGGCTGTGCTCTGCCAGATCACTTGTCATGGATTTGCCCAGATTAGTAATTATCCAGTCTTATTGTTCAACAAACTCTACATGATGGTGATGACAATCGAGATCCGCAAAGATCTAGATGTGGATCAGAAGAATCCCATTAAACGGGCAAGCCTCTGATTAAACATGGAACTCTGTTTAGGCATCACAAGGAGAACCACTCAGTCATACATACAGATACACAGATAAGGGGTTACAGCAGAAAAACGGGAACAGTGAAATAAACACTCAGTAACAGGAATAAATAATTAAAACAATATAAACACAAAGAACTATAAAAGATACAAAAATATGTACAATGTAAATGTATGTGTGTATATACATATATAACATTAGGATCATCCAGGAGGGGTGTAAGGGTTTTAATGGATAGTCCAGACAGACATTTGAGAAATCAGGGAGCAGAACAGATCTAATGAAAGACATCATGGAGTTTCTTTATGGAAATCGTAGAACGGAGCTTGACCTACATTAGTGACCATCTGGGCCTCTCCGGCTTCTATTCTGACCACTCAGTTTTTATACTGTGTCTCTTGTGAGAGAATCTATGGAGGTGCAATGTTAAAGGTACTGTGCAATAAAAATAAAACAAAGTATAGTGTGTGTAGCAAAAACCTATATGATCTAATTTCTCTGTGCCACTAATTGAAAACATATCAGTCTTGTCTTCATGACTTCAGAGGGACATGATGGACACATGTATTTCCTGGAGACTTAGTCTGACCTTAACTATTACCCTAGAGCTGAACCTAACCTTACACTAACCTTAAACCATGTATGCATAGGGCTGGGTAATAAAACTACATCAATAATGATCAATTTCATCAATTGTAATGTAAGAAAATATATTAATATAATACTAATGTACTGTGTATTATCAAATTGAGGAGGTATAACACATAACTGAAATTTAGAAAAGGTTTTGCTGTTTACTAAGTGTTTGTGATTCTCTGCTCACAAAGAAGAGTTTAAAATCAAGACCTTCACCCAGGAGCAAAAATGTGTCTTTAAACTCAAAAGAAATAATGACGTCACATTCATCCTGATAATTATTGACATTGACTGGTGTGAATTATTTGTATCTATAATTATCGGTTTTATCATCCAGCCCAATGTCCTCACTTTAAGATGTAACCACTCAGAGACCCTGACACTATGAGTCACATTCATCCATTCATGTAAAACACCTAATAGACACAAGTGACCACCAGTAGTTACTGAGCCTCCTCCTGGTCTGCTGTCAAAGTGGACAAGAAACATAACTTTACTTTCAATGAAATTTGAATTACTGTCGGGTTCTTTTTCTGCATCCCTTCATCGTATAATAAGATATGATACCAGTGGTGAAAAGTACCTTAGTACGTTTACTCAAGTATTGTTTTGGAAATAATGTAACTTCTGCTTCACTACCTACGTTTGACAGTTTTAGTTTCGTATGAAGGGAAGTGTGTTATATTAAACACTGTGAAGGATTGAACCAGTGGTTACTAAGCTTTTGTTTTAGTTCACTCTAGCTCCACCTGCAGCAGTTACTGTTGTAACTGCTTCCTAATCACAATTCACCCAGCAGCCGGACTGTAGAGAGGCTGAAATACAGAAATCACAGTTTGGAGTCTTTACTATGATACAAACTGTATTTCTCAGAGCGGAGACTGATCATTTGAATATGTAGGTTTAGGTTTATGTCTAAATTGAACACTAAAGTAGTGAAATGTTTTAAAATGAGAGAAAACACAAGAGGCACAACATTTCCGATATGATTATATACAACTTAATTAACATCAAGTAAAGTAAAATCACATTTAATAAAAAAAACTTCAAAAGATATACCCTGGAAGCTCTGTCGATTTCCCTCTCTCCCTCAACCTTTCATGTCTGTTGCTCTGTGTGTGTGTGTGTGTGTGCGTGCATGTGTGTGTGTGTGCACGTGTGCGTGTGCGCGTGGGTGCACGCGTGTCTCCTGTCCAGATGAATCTCTCTCCACTCTGCTGGATGTGTCACTTCCTGCTCTCTGCGGTTGTCATGGAGAGGCCAGGGCTCCAGCGATAAAGAGCCATCTGCCGTTGGCATGACCACCTACAGCCCGGCCACCGTCACAGCAACTGTGATTGATAGCCCCCAGAGAGTGACACAGAGAGAGGGGAGGGTAGGATAAAAAGGGAGGAGACACAAGTGAAGAGAGCATGCAGCAGGAGGAGCGGAGAGGAGGCGGACAGAGGGGTTGTGAGGGCAGAGGAGTGGAGAATAAAAGAGGGAGGACAGAGAAGAAAAGGGAGGAGGAGGAGAGAGGGAGACATGTCCAGATGTCCTCCTGTTTGCTCTGGGGTTTTCAGTCTCTCTCTCTCTTTCGTTTCCAGGGGAGACAAATGGTAGAAATGTGATACTGAGAGCCAGTGCATCAACTGCAAACACACACACACACACACACACACACACACAATAATGGCATTCAACCCAGTGGCGTGTCGTCAGGGCCTGCAAGACAAGACGACCTGTTAAAGCTAAATATAGAGACCAATTAGAAAAACAGTGGGCGAGATCTCTCCTTACATCTGATCACAGAACAGTTCTGTCCCATCAATGATCCGATGTCGCCTATTTACATTCATCTTGTATCTTACTGCCCCCTTGTGGCAACAGTAGACCGCGGAAGCTAGCTTGACTGCAGCCGTTTAATCGATTCTTTCTGCCATTTTTCGTGGACGTGTCCTCATGACGGTGTCTGTGGTCTGTCAAGCAGAGACGGGAGCTGCAGTTCTGTGGACTTTTGCTCATTATTGTTTTAATGGACAGTAAAGTAAGATAGATGTATCCTCACTTCTTTGCATTCTGCAAAAATGGAGCCCAAATATCCTATAAACTGATGCTGCGATACGATTTCTTTATATGATTTGCAATCGAAGTCCTGACAGTAGTGATCTGGTGTGTAGCTGCAATATCATGGTCCCACCGACACACATACTTGAGTCGTTCTCTGCTGTCAATCATAATCACAATCTTTTATCACGTCACTATTAAAACCAAGCTTTTAAATACAATTAACTCTTGAATATGCATCAGTGTGATGGGAACTACCTGAAATGACAGAAATCATCTTTAAGAAACATTTTTTTAACTTGTATCTTTAATTTTTGGTTTGACCCATGTCCCATCTGCTAACATGTTTATGACCTTTACTGCAGCCAGCCACCAGGGGGCGATCCAGGTGATTTTGCTATGGGGGAGAGTGAGGTGAGGGGCAATATGCAATATGCAACACTAGATGTCACTAAATCCTACTCACTGTACCTTTAAGTTGAGTTAGAGTTAAGGTTGGTTAGTTCTTTCTAAAACACTTTTAATCTTATTTGTTGAAATCTTCTTCACATCCCGATGGCCATTAAAAAGTCGCGGAAAAGTCGGCTTCTAGTTGGGCGTAGCTGTGACGAGAGGGCTAATGGGAGGGGGTGGGATGTATCGGTTGCCCCTTTTGCGTATCCTGCTCTTGGCCACTTTTCCACCCTGACTTTAACATCTGCTGATGAGCAGTAAACACAACTGAGTACAACTGATGACTGTTGGGGGTTTTACAGTGATTTGATCAGGAACCAGAGCGCTGGACAAATTGAAATAATGTGAACCGATCGAACATTGTAATCCTTGAAGTTACTTTTACTTTACTTACTTTTTACTTTACTTACTATCATCATGTGTGGTAAACAGGCTACAACACAACGGAAACATGTGGAATGGCCCTTTAAGCTGCAGTAGCTTATTAAAGTGGAGAACAGCCTCATTAAATGTGTGGATGCCAGTGTAATGTCAGATGTGATGTTCCCACAGTATAACGTGGATGTATGGAGATGTGGGCTTGTGTTTCAAACAACAGGCCTCTTGTCCTGCTCTGAGTTCTCATTTGATCCGCTTTATGAGTTTTCTGTCCTGATTCTCCTCAGCTGAGAATTTCCAGTAACACTCTGGTAAGATGAGCGGCCAAATCAGTTAACAGCGGAGACGGCTGAGTGCTCTCCTGTCAACGGCTACATTAGCACCGTTTTTTACCGAAGCTCCCTGAAGTCGCACGTATCATAAATCATTCCAGGTTCAAAGTTCAAGACGCAGGTGACTGTCTTATATACATGAATGTGTAATTGTTTCTGTGTGTGTTGAACAGATTTATTTGATTCATTTTTAATTCATTCCTGGGCCTGATCTCGTTTCATCCCTTTCAGTTCATCTCTTCTAAATCAGTGGAGATATGAATCAGCCCTGTGTGGTCTGCAGGGGAAAAATCAATTTCTATGGCAGGAGATACGAGATCCTCACTGTATCTGTGTGTGTGTGTGTGTGTGTGTGTGTGTGTGTGCGTACATTCGAGTCCAGTGAAATACGACCCCGGTGCCTTGGTCCATCCATTTCCAGAAGTAGCTGCTGATGGCACTATGTAAGCCTATCATATCACTTAATGACTCTGAAGTCATCACTTACCTCATCCTGACATCAGGTATCGATTGGCTGACTGGGAGAGGGATGATGGAGAGACGAGTGGACAGACAGGTGGATGGAGGGCTGGACAGCTGGAGATATACAGTAGATCTTCACATATGATTCCACCAGAGGCCTTTTGAATATAGATCACAAAAGAGGAAATCATTAAATGTGACTCCAAACTCCATCATGGCTACATCCTGTTCCCTGCACATGGAAGCAGTTTTTATTATTGTGCTGCTCCACACATATAAGATGACACTTGATTAGTCAATGGTATATAAACCAATATCACAAATGTGCCCCAGGGGGCTTTACAGTCTGTGCAGCATTACAACACCTTCAGTCAGATAAGGAGACACTCCGTATGAAAAACCCTTTAACAGGGCAAAGAAATCAGGAAAACTCAGGGGGACCAACAGAGGAGAGATCCGTCTGTGAGGAGCCATGCAATAGATGCCAGGTGAAGAAGTGTCATAGATTTACAGAATGAACTCTCAGGACAGTTTCATTATAGATTGAGAGAATATATAGAGCAGGATCAGGCAGGATGAGGAGCTGGGGTCATATTTTCAAACATGCTCCTTTAAGTGTTCCTCCCTACTCCCAGCAGCTTCACCTCAGGTGCTCTGTTAAAGCTACGGTTGGTAATC